GAAGATGTACCTCTAACTTTTTTGTTTTTTGAGATAAGTGCGTCATCTTTGGACTCATTTTAAAGGTTTTTTAATGAAGATGACAAATATGTCAAAATTGACGTTGACGTTTCAAACCGGAAGTGATTGTATCTCCATTAATATTAAAGTTAAATATGTCGAGTTTGGACTCATTTTAAAGGATTTTTTATGATGTTGACAAATATGTCAAAATTAAAAGTTGAAAGTTCAAACTTTTTGGTTTTTTGCGATAAATCCGTCATATTTGGACTCACTTTAAAGTAAACTACTATAACGCGGTCTAATTTTTATACAGACTAGAAATGTATTCAACTAGAAAGTTTCGGGTTTAGTCGTGCGTCTTCATATAAGTATTATAGATAATAATTAATTAAATTTGGTTTAAATAATACTATTAAAAAAATTTTAAATTATTAATAAAAAATGAAGTGTTGAGTAGGGTCAGTGTTCCGATAGATGTCGAGGTTGTACGAACATAGCCTGTGGGGAATGAAAAGGGATCGTGGGGGTAACACACCAGACGAAAGGGCAGAAAGATTTTGTCTGGAAGCGGTGTTTCCCGACAGTACCAGACTATTGATCGCGTAGAATAGGGAGCAAAGAACATTACTCATAACATCTGAAGAGATTGACGAATAACAAATAACACAAAAAGATATCAACAAAACAAAATACCATTTCGTAAATATATAATATATTTCGAATCTTACCCCAAAATATTTCGACATCTCAAAACATAGATACACCTCACAAATTGCGTTAAAAACAACAAACTAAACAATAATTAATAAATTTCACATTTTTATTTTATATTTAATGAAACTTTTAATAGTCATATTTATACTTGGAGGATTAAAAGTTTTTTTTTGAAAGACTTTCTGCGAGGTCTTTCAATTCGGGTTAACTGTCGAGTACTAAAACCTTCGCACGCGGTCTTTGGTTTACCCTCTGTTGTACTATCGAGGAGCCATGTGGCCCCAGACACGCGACTTTTCAACCAAACGATTTTCACCTTTATTAAAACGGATTTTAAGGTAGCTTTGTGGCGTTTTGGGTGACTCGTCAGGTGGATTCGTCGAGAGACGAAAGGTAATGACCTTTACCGGCTTTAAATACATCGTCACAATGACGGGTAACAATAGGTTTCAGTATAAATAGGTTACGAGGTTTTCTTATTTACATTTCAAAAAGAATAAATACAAAAAAAATTATTGTTTAGTTCTAAAATTATAAAATATATTAAATTGTTAACAATTAAATCTTAATTTACAACTTTATGGTGTATTTCAAGTATTTAAAGAAAAGTGAAATAAGAAAACATAAAAAAAAAATTCCTTCGAGCCGGATTTGAACCAGCGACCTATGGATATCTACAACGTTTCGAAAACCTCTACAGTCCACCGCTCTACCAACTGAGCTATCGAAGGCTTGTAAGTAAAATGCTCTCTGTTATTATAATTCTTTCTATTTTTTATAACAAAAAAATATTTTAGGTAATAAATTGTTCAAATATAATAGTAGATGAGTAATTTGTGTGATTTATGACCAATTCTAAACTCCTCTTCATCTCCACATTAATATCCTGGTTCAATTTTTTCCTAGGCCTATCTCTTTTCTTTCTTTCTGCTGGCACCCAGTTCCAAACTTTAAGTGGGATTCTCTCTTTAATCATTCGGCGTTGATGTTCATACCATTTTAGTTGCTTTTCATTGATAGTGTCTATTATTGAGTTTTGTGCCATCATTCTTCTTCAAATTTCCTCATTTTCAACTCGGTCCACCATGGTTATGCCGCAGCATCTTCTCCAAAACATCATTTCTGCTGTTAGCAGAAACTCTCACCCACACTTCTGATGCATACATATATTTCTATGTTTGTATCGTTAGGTTGTTATTCCACAGAATCGAATTTCCTTTGCCAAGTTTCCTCATTACATCTTTATTGGCCTTTCCGTCTTCGTTTATAATTACTTCAAGGTATTCGTACTGTTCTACATGTTTTATAATGCCGGTCTCCAATTGTATGTCCCTTCCCGTTCCTCCAATTACAATATATTGAGTAGCCCCATTTATTGTCTTCATCTTCTAGCGTATTTAACATATACCTCATATCCCCTTCGTCCTCTACAAAAACTATTTGGTCGTCCGCAAACAGCATGGTGTGTATGTGAGTATCTCCTATTCACATACAATGTTTTAGGGTTGAGTGGATATGGATCTTGAATATTGTGGGAAAGAAGCAGCATCCCTGTTTGACACGTCCTTAGGAGAGAAAGCATCAGTTATGAGTTTTCCTACCTCAACCTCTGCCGCGTTATCATACGCTTTCATAGCATGGATGTAAGTTCTGTCGATGCCTGCATTTGTCATAATTTCTGAAATGGGCATTTCCCTTCCTTTTGACAGTTTTTTCTCAACTAGCATGAATGAAATATCTACGCAAGCTCTTCCAGGTCTGAAACCACTTTGTTCCTCTTCCTCCTTAATTTCTCTTGCGTTTCGACTAATTTCCGCACTCCTTCCTATTTCCTTTCTTGTATATGGGGTTTATTTGGGACTTTCTCCAATCTTGTCGAATGTTATCTCCTCTAAGACACTTGTTAAATATCGTGCATATTGTTTCCAGGACTATCATGGTAGTTATTATTATGAGTTTATTATGTATTTACTAAAAAGAATTATAATTTAGTAATTTAGCACTTCGACGTACACAAAAAGTGACATTTCATTCTATATTAACCACCAAAATGCAATGGCTGGATGTGGTGATCAGATTATGATTTTCAATACAAAAATTCTGAAAGATATACAAATAGTAGTAAGCCGTGTCTTACTACTTCTTCTTCAATTTGCGTTAATTGGAACCTACTATCATGCATTATTATATCAGGCATTATTATTATTATTATTGCTGCCGGGCTGAGCAGCATCTATTGTAACTTTAGCCCTCCAAAGGTTTAGGGCAAATGTAGGTCCTTAATGAACCTTAGTATTGTCTTGAGGTCTTGAACCTTTATGTCGGTAGGTAACAGGGGAGTTTTACCGAAGACGTTGTGCCTTAGACGGCCTCTGGCGACGCAATTGCACAGTATATGTTCAGCAGTTTCTGACTCGTCGTTGCATAGTCGACAAGTTTGATCCTCAGCTTGTCCAATGTGGAAGAGGTGGTATTTTAGGGGCACATGGCCGGTCAGGTAGCGTGACAGCGTCCTTAGATCCCCTTTGCTGAGGCATAAAACCTCTTTGGTTTTGTTTTGCGACGGAGTTATCATACTCTTCGCTTGTCTATGACCTGGAAGTTCTTTCCAGCGTAAGGCTATCTTTGAAGCCTCCCAGTTGTTGATTATTTGTTTTAGGTGGCTTTTTTGTAGTCCATATATATCAGGCATAGATTTATGGATATTTGACTTTTGGCAAGAAAGGTTTTGCAATATCGAAGTAATTGTCAATCCTTGATTTGATTTGACAGAATCAAATCTTTTGTCTTGCAACCCCATCAACTACATCTTCTGTTATTACTAACAGGTTAAAAATAACAAATAAATTTGCAGTGCTGTAGGCTGCACTTGCATTGGAACCTAGAATGAGATAAAGTGGTGTTCAACGGTGAATCCTAAACATTATAATGTAAAATTTTCAATATTCCTCTTTTGTGTTTAGTTCCTTTCTTCGGTTTATAGTATTTTCCCAGTTTGTCTCTTCTTATGGCTCTTTTTTCCTGTGCTCTTTCTAAGTCTTCCTAATTTATGGGCTAGTCACTTGCTTGCTTTTATAGTCTTTTTTTGTTCTTTCCAACCTCTTTGTTCTCTTTACAGTCTCCTTTTTCTATCAGTAATCTTTTAGTAATTTTCGGCCGTGTCTCTTTGCACTCTATGTTTAGCCTCTCTCTAGGTATATTTGCCTAGTCTCTTTTCTCTTTTAGTTTCCTTCTGTTATAGCCGTTCATTTTCTAGTCTCTTTTATCATTACTCAATCATTTTTGTTTTCCCAGCCGATGTTCAATCATTATATACTGTTATCAGCCCCCTTCTAGTATTTCTTTTCTATGATCAATCTCTTTCTTCTAAAACAGTCTCTTTTCAATTTTCCTCTTCCTCCACTATTTCCACTATTTCAAGCTCTCTCCTCAATTTATTTATTCTGTTACCAGTCACTTTCATTTTTGATCTTGTCAGCATCTGTTGAATTTCCCTTTTGTAATATAAGGTTGTTCGAGCAGAGAATTAGTTATTAGTTTGTGACAAATTAGTGCATTCATGAATGCGCATGCGCACGTAACGATTAATTGCGAATTAGTACGATATTTGTCACAGCTCGAACAGTAAAAATATGAAAACATTGTATTAAACATTGTATATGGCCATTGTGTTATTTCGTCTGATAGGTTGCTTATAAAATACACTGTTCGCTGGATTACAGTTTGTAGGGAACTTATACTAATATTAAATCTATCAGCTACATCTCGGAAAGAAGCCGTCTGATGACCACAGAAATATTAATATATGTTGTTTTTCTGTTAATTTTCCATTTCCTCCGGCTTGATAATTATAATACTGGCTGGCTTTAAATCGATTTGCTAGATCTTCAGCAACTACTCTACTCAAACGAAAATGTTCCATAAATTCTGAGTCGCTATACTGTTGTACTGTTTCGAAGTACTCTTCATTTTTTGGCCTTATTCGCACTGGTGTATCAAGTAATTCACCTTCTAGGTCATCATCACTTGACTCAAAATTTACTAAAGGCACATCTTCACTTGACGACGAAATATCGGACATGATTATTTATACTCTGATTTATACTAGGTACTTAAGAACGTGTTAACAACAATTACAGATTAATAAAGCGGATATTGTGTTTACAAATATAAATCGATTGTGTCGCCCTCTGGACGTGCTACGTTTATTACCAACAAACTCGCAAAGTATCCACTGCGTATGACAGTACACAATCCGTCAACAATTTTTCGAAAGTCAGCAAATTGTAAAAACTATACCCAACCAGTTCCCAACTAATCCTAAATTCTGATCGAACACACGACTGGTAGTCGAAAAAGTCAGAATTCGGGATTTATTTACTGCTCGAACACCGTTACCATACTGCGCATGCGTCTCCCAATTTGCAGATTGGTTTTGCCGCTGCTCGAACAAACCTATAGGTTTCTTTTCAGTCATTTTGTTTTCTTCCTAATATCAGCTCAATCTAATGTTTTCAAGCCCTCTTTAGCCTCTCCTTTTTGATATCTATCTTATTATGGTCTTTCCAGTTTAGCCTCTTTATTCTATTACTACTCTCTCTTTCCTTTACCCAGTTTCTTGTTCTACTCCCAGTTTTAGTTTCATATTTTTATTCTTAACTATTAGCCCCTTTCTGTTTTTTTTTTTTTCAGTCACTGTTCAATCTCTTCCTTCTATTATCAATCTGTTTCCAGTATTCTTATTCTCTCTCTCTTATTTTTGCAGTCACTTTCCAGTGTCTCTTTCCTTTACTTTATCTCCTGCTCTTATGCTAGTCTTTATTAAACCTCTTTCTTCTGTTATTAGTGTCATTTTGATTTTTTATGCTTCTGATTCGTGTCTCAGGCCATATCAGCTTGGCTAGAAGTGAATCTCCATATTGTTGTAATCGAGTAGTGATTGATTTTGAAATTTCTAAAACCAATACGAACATAACTACAAAAGCAATTGTTACAATGTCAATATCGTAATTTCATAATTCATCTTTTGTCGTGAATGTTCGTGATGGCCTAATAAAATTTCCGGAATTTACATTAAAAGCGACGGTCCATTGGCGTTGCGGTTTCAAGGGGCTACGCTTAACTACGTTTTAATTACGCCACCTCGGTAACAATGCCCGTCCCTTTGTTTCGAGCCGGCGGAAAAGCGGCCACGGTTTAGGGGGGGGAGGGTGAATCCTGTAACTCTTGGCTAGTTGTATATTAGCGTAATAGTAATTACGGAGGACAGTACCGCCACCATACACTATCGGAACGCGAATATATGGCTTGTAATATCAGCCACCCAGATGATACCAAAAACACGAGTAATTTCAAATTACATCGAAAATGTGTTGCCCGAAAAAAAGATTTATTTTTTTGTTGCTTTTCTCTCGAGGATTTTAAAATAGAGTTTTTAGTAGATAGTTGGAATAGCGTATAAATCTGTTCAACAATAATTGAAAATTCCAAAGGTACGTTTGTTGCGTGGCTTGCATCGTCCCATCCCCCTCAGGACGTGGAGTATCAAATGGGACCTGATTTATGAACGGTGGAGATTAAACCCGAACTGGAAATCTGTATTCAAAGCCGGTCTATGTAAATGGCCCGGTTAGAATGCATCAAACCCGATTTTCGCTACAAACGTAGACCGGTTTTGATTAATGTCTCGATGTTATTAATGTATTCGGCGGGACTGTCACTAGAATTACGCTTGGTTTATATGTTTCGGCTACAACTATAACACTTTCAACACAATTCGATTCACTTTTGATTTTGATTAAGTTCTAAATTTTAACAAATTTGGTTAGTTTTCACCCCACGAAACGACCAGATCTGATTAGTATGGTAATTTTTGAGTTTCCCCGGTGCAGTTTTGGTGGCCGACTCCAATTTAATTAAAACTGAAAGCGACTTTATGCGTGTTGCGTCTCGGTCTTTTGTTAATTTAACAACACCAAAGAGATGTTGGGCGATTTGTTTTTTAAAACGGACGTTTTTGCAAATTAAACACGTCCCGCAATTATTTTAAATCACCCTATTTAATTAAATTAATCATTACCTGCATGTAAACACTCGAAGTTGAACTTCTCCGATTTCTTCTAAATTGTATAAAATGAGCCATTATCTGGAACAAAAAAAAAGTTCAATCTTTTAAAAGACTTTTTTATGAGGATCATCATTTCGCAGAGAAGCAATTCTCGTAATGGTTCTAAAACGCATAGTATTTTTCCGGATGCATCCGGATTTTCGACGGTAACTGTTTGAATGGTAGGGTAGAAGATTTAGTCGCCTTTCTTGACCACGTCCTCTGCATAATTTCCCTTTTCTACGTTCTTTCCCAACGCTTACGAATGGAAGTATTACTCTCAATCCCACGGGGAAAAAGAAATGATATTCGACGGCTCAGTGCCGAGTGTGGTTATATTTAAATGTGAAAAAGAAAATAAGAAGGGGAGCGTAAATATCGCAACAACTGGAGTAAACAGAAAAAAAGGAACAAATTTAAATAACAAAATTTTTTTGATTTCTCCCTTTCTTATAAACATTTAGAAATTTGTTCGAATCTTTTTCTTGATGTCCCCACAAACACATAAAACCCCATCACAAATTTACGATCGTAGAAATATGAACCAAACCTTAATAAGATTGCCCTTCAAGATCCACCCCATTTTCTTTTATTGCACCAACCTATATTTGACCATTTCCTTTATCTATCTCTTTTTATTCCTCCATTTCTTTCTTTTTTTCCTTATTTCAACAAATTACTGAAATGATAATCGTTTTACAGAATAGAACGCAATTTTCAAGGCTATTAGATGTAATCCGTGGTATTGTTGTCAACCGAGCGTTTCCTTCGCGGTTGACATCTTCGTGAAATTCGAGAGAAATTTTTTTTCTTAACGATAGACCGAAGGACGAGCTTCGGAAGGACAACAATACGATCATCATCCCGACCAATCTTCTTTTTAGAAAGCATAAAAGGGGAATGAGAATGTTGTGAGCGTTTAGTTATGAAAGGTTTTTTTTTCAAGATGTTTCGTGTTTTTTATTTTTTTGTGGTTTTTGGTGCTGTTAAATTATGTTTGGGTACTTTTGCTGATAACAGAGTATCTGTGGATACAGTTAAGTTTCATATATTTTTAGTTAAAATAATCAAATTTCAAATTAAAAACACTAATCTTCCGGTGGAGATAAAATTAGGTTGGGATAAAAGTTTGAGTCAGTATGGAATTGAGTTAGGCATGGATTTGATAGCATTATTACAGATTTTTTACAGTTTAGAATCATATTAGAGCAATTTCAAACTTTTTCTTGGACTATTAAACCTGATCAGAATAATTCAAATCTTTTCTTTACTAAAAAGTGTTTGGTCATCATATTTTCAAGCTTGTTTTTGAAGACTAAGGTAATACCAGACATTTTGTTACTATTTGGAATCGGTCAGAATAATTTTTGACATCTTTTTTTCATATCAATGTCATTTCCAACATTTTCCTAAAGTCTAGAGTTATTAGTTTTTTTTCTAAACATTATAATGTAGAATTTTTCAATCTTCCTCTTCTGTGTTTAGTTCTTTTCTTGCATTTACAGTATTTTCTCAGACTGTATCTTCTCATTACTCTTTTTTTCTTATGCATTTTCTGTTCAGCCTATTTCTTATCTTACCAACCTCATTTAAGTCTTCCTAATTTATGGCTAGCCACCTGCTTGTCTTTAAAGTCTTTTATTTCTCTCTCCAACCTCTTTATTCTCTTTACAGTCTCTATTCAGTTTTTTTCTATGAGCAATTCACCTTTCTGCCAAGTCTCTTTTCACTCTGTGCTTAGTCTCTTTCTAATCTCCTTCATGTCTACCCAGTCTCTTTTCTTTTTCAGCTTCCCTCTCTTGTAATCGTTCATTTTCCAGTCTCTCTTCTCATTACTCAATCATTGTATACTGTCCCCTTCTAATCTTTCTTCTTTTTGATCAATCTCTTCTAAAACCAGCCTATTTTCAATCTTCCTCTTCTGTCTTTAGCTCATTTTTTGCTTTTACACTTTCTTTCCAGTGTTTCAAATTCTTTCTGCAATTTCTTTGTTCTATTACCAGTCTTTTTACTTTCAATTCTGATGTTGTCAGCATCTGTTGAATTTCTCTTTTATATAATATAGGTCTCTATTCAAGCATTTTGATTTCTACTTGGCCTTAGTTTAGCTTCTTCTATTTCCAGTGTCTTTCCAGACTTTCCATTTTTTATCTCTTTCGCAATCTCTTTCCAGTTTCAGTTATTTCTACTCAGTATCTTTTTCTCTTCCCACCTTATGATTCATCCCTTTGTTGTATTGTTAATCAAATTCTAATGTTTCCAGCCCTGTTAAGCCTCTTCTTGATATCAATCTCGTTATTGTCTATACCAGTCACTCTTTCCTTTATCCAGTCATTCTTTTCCCAATCTTAGTTTCATAGTTTCATTGTATACAGACATTTTGTTACTGTTTAGAATCGGTCAGAATAATTTCTGACATCTTTTTTTGCATGCCAGTGTCATTCCCAATATTTTCCTCAAGTCTAGAGTCTTAACAGTATGATTTAAGCCTGTTGCATAAAGCTGCATAAAGACATTTAACAAACCTTTTCTAGTAGTTTGAATTTCAGCTAGCTTCATTCATGACAACTCTAAACTTTATAGTGCGTGGTCATTGTAATTCCAGACTCAACTTTGAAGTTTAGCACCTACCCAGTACAATTCCAGACCTTACCAGGAAGTTTATAGTCTTGCCAATGCAATTACAAACTTTTCCTTACAATCCAAAATCGTATCAGGACAATTCATCCATTTGTACATGCAGTTTGGAACTAAAATTAGATTCCCGACGTTTCGATAAAGTCTAGAATCCAATTTGGAGAATACTTCGCGAGATTTCTAGATGAAAATTGCATTTCTTTGATGATAACTCCACTAAAAAAAATTTTTTAATTTTCTTAGAAAGAAAACAACCAAAATTTAGAACCCTACAAAACACGTTATTATTTACCACCAAGTTACGAAGGCGCAGGTGAATACAACCCTCATGAACCACCAGAACATTATCCACCACCCCCTTATTACGAAGAAACCCATCAACATGGAGGTTATGGATTTTCTGCAAGCCCTGAACACCATCAAACTTTTAGAACACCAAGTAGAGGAAATTCGCACAATTCTTTTGGGGTAACTTTTAAAAACATTGAATAATCTTTTAGATGTCATATTTGACATTTATCCTTCAAAAACAACAATGAGGTTCGTTTAATCGTTTACATCTTGTAGTAATTAAAAAAAATTTAACTTACGTGTCTCCTTAATGCTTCGAAAAAGATTTATTTGATGTTTATAACATAATAATAACTAATTAAACTTATTTAAATTAAAAAATTATCTACATCAATTCAAACCGCTCAATCACAACAATAACATAACCTCAAATGTCAAAAATTGATTTTAAAATATCTAAATAAATTTTAAAAATAATTAATAATTATAGAAATTTGAATTTATTAATCAATTAATTTTAATAAAACAAATTATTAATATTATTATTATAAATAAATTTTGGTAAAAAAACATTAATTTTAATTTTTTTTTTATTTTAAGTTGGTGGTCTTGAAATTTTGTCAACTTTGATAACTGTCAAACTAATATGTGATATGTGATTTTAAATGATTTCTTTTTTGCAGGGATTAGCATTAAAAGGTCTTCTAATACCTTTAGCGGGTATTGCATTACTCGGTGCAGCAGCAGCTTTATCTACAAATCCAGTTTTGCTTCAACTGGGAGTGATAAACGGAAAAAGAAAGCGAAGGTCAATCAATGAGAATGAAAGAAAATCTTTAACATTACCATCAAGGCGTGTTTAATTAATTATCCCTCTGGCATTATGATTCATAACGTGTTATTAAATCAATTTCAAGTAAGAATTTATTTATTAAAATTTCATTTTATAATAAGGTTTGTTGCGAATAAATAATGTTTTCTATTTTTATTATAAGTAAAAATGATGTGAAATCCCTTCGTATGAGAAAGGGATCGTTTTTCTTTATTAAATTGGTTAAAGTGAAATCCTCTGTATCATCATTAATAACAATTTTTTTCAATCAAGAAATTTTCTTTTCCGGCTAAATTCCAGAAATAGATTTCTTCTTTTCTCTCGAGTTTCTCTCGTTCGTTTCTTTTGGTGTGTTTAAAAAAAGGTCAACGACCGATATCGAAAGTTTACAAAAAGAGTTTTTTTGTATAGTCGAGTTTTAAATCTCAGGTGAACCCAAAAAAAGAACCATTTAAGTGGTCTTATTGGAAGAAATCTAGGTCTGTTTACAATTTTATTTTAAGATCTTTGTAACTTTGCTTTAACTCCGGTTTTAAAACGATTCTTACAGAGATAAAAACGTGGATCTTTTACGTAAATGGGGCGATTAACAATTCGCAGCAGGAAGTAATGAGTCAACCTCGTTAAAGAACTTATTTTGCTTAAAAGAAGCAAAATAAGTGTTACAATAAAAAAATGTAATTAATAAATTATTTTGTGATTTATATAGTCTAATTAATAATTTATACGTTGTTTACTTGTATGGGGGGAGAGAGAGATGGAATAAGTAATAAAAGGACGCATGTTGAGACGAAATTAGAACAAACCAGAGCAGATCTGAATCGGTTTTTAGGTTGCTGAAGATTTAAATAAGAAATTGCAAATAATAAGAAAGTTTATTTGAGTTAAATCATCCATTTGGCGAATAAATCAAAAGAAATTTATTACATACGTTTATATAGAAAGGTGATGTATGTTACAAGAATTTTAAATACAAGTGGGTGGATTTCCCAAGATATTTTAACCTGAATCCATTAATAACAACCAATTAAACAAAAAATAAATTATAAAAATAACTTGCTCACCTCAATAACAATAAAAAATAACTTCTAATAGATTCAAAAATATAAACAAAAACGTTATAGTCCACTCACAAAAAAAAGATGTTAAATTAAAATCTTCGAAATTAATTAAAAACAATTTTTTTCTTCGCGATTTATTTAAAATTTAAGTATTTGTTTAAAAAACGAAATAAATCTCGAGGTAAAAGGTAAAACTGGAGGTAAAACTACGGTTGTACATGCGCAGTTCGCGGTTGGTAGCTCACTGGTGCAGACTTTCCGGCTCTCTTGGGCGAATGCGATGACCTCTGAAAGAGTCCATACAATGCGCCCGACGGCCGCCAGTTATGCGATCGAGTGCCGAAGGGATTTTTTTATAGAACCAAGCCAACGACGACGACGAAGACTACGTAGAGAGACGCAAGGAGAAAAAGACATATGGGAAGCGCAAATTCTTTCAGAAAATCATCCGACTTTACAATCTTAAGATAACGACAGAGCAAGATTACAGTAGATGGAAAATAATGAGTGGTTTAATATCTAATAGGTTTAATGATGGATTTGAAACAATTTTGTTGGGCCATTTAAACGAAAGAAAATAAATCTAGTAATTGGACAACAAAGAAAAATGGATAATTAATGTTTATTAGTCAAATTACTGGATCACGACAAGGTTAGTCCTCAGTTAACCTAGGATTAAAACATCTACACAACATAATTTGACGTTTTTAAACTAAGTGTTGAGTATGCAACCCAATATGTACGAAGTTTGAAACCAAAATATGTCAAATTTGATTTCATAAAGACTTAACACGTTACGCAAAAAGTAGTCATCCATCATAATTTACACAAACGTATGTTACATACATTTTATATAGTAACGTATGTAGATCTATCAAGTGAATTGCTTTGAAAGCTGGGTCTGAAGAGAAAAAGAGACATAGAATCATTCATGTAGACATAGATTAGCATGGATTATTTAGTGGCGCCAATTAGGTGGCGCCAGAAGTTGTTTCCACATAAATGTGATAATTGTGTATTGCTACAGCAATAACGACGATCTTACCAGTTCTATAATGATGTATCTAACTAAAGCATTTGACAGTGTCCACTATGACATCTTATTGAAGAAGTTGGAAGCTACGGGGACTCGCTGGAGTGTTTCAGATCGTACTTGTCAGAAAGAGAACAGCCGGTGGTCTCGTATGATCAAACTGGTGCTGAAATTACTTCAGACTGGAAAAAGGTTCTGCGAGGCGTCCCACAAGGATCAATATTGGGACCTTTCCTCTTTGTCCTATACATCATTGATCTTCCAGAAGCTTCTTCCTCATTGCTGATGACTCAACTACAGTATTAACTACAAAAATTTTTTAAAAATGTCAAAATTGGTCCAACTCAATCTAAGTAAACTACAAACTTGGTTTTCAAATAACAACTTACAAAAAATAAACGTTATAACAACAGGAACTCAGATTTGACATTTATCCTTCAAAAACAACAATGAGGTTCGTTTAATCGTTTATATATTTTAGTAATTAAAGAAACTTTTACTTACGTATCTCCTTAAATACCTAGGATGCGACGCTCCCTATGAACACGATAAGGACATACATCACAAATTGAAAATCTTCACAAGACTTGTGTGGAAGTATTTGATGAAGTTTGGGTTATAAATGCAGGAATGATACTTCAATGAAATTTTATAAGACAATGGTAATGAAGAAGGACTTAAGCAAGGTAGAAGCCGCGGAAATGAAGTTTCTTGCTGTAACAGATTGGATCATATCCGAAACGAATTAGAGAGGAACTGGAAATTTTTGCAGTTAACGATAAAATCAAGGAATACAAAGAGAAATCTATGGGCCACGTGCAGAGAATGCAGGTTGACAGAATGCCAAAATTGGCACTGCAGTGGAAATCAAGAGGGAGGTGATCTGAAGTATAGGTACAGGTCAAGAAGGCCTAAATCGTTAAGTAGACGACGAAGTACATCACTTGACGCCATTTTTATTATTGTGCCAGTTCACAATTATCACATTTATGTGAAAACAACTTCTGACCCACCAGCTAGTTGGCGCCACTAAACTGGCTTCTTACTGGCGCCAGCAATCCATACCAGTTTATTAACCCCAATGGATTTTAACTAAACTAGCGTCAGCTGACTGGCGCCTTAAAGATAAGTTTCCACAAGTTTTAAGTGTTCATAATAGCATCTATTTGCAGCTTATATTCTATCCTTTATTGCGTTCGTAATCGTATCAAATACAGCGGCTGGGTACTTAAAATTTTTGACACCCTTTAAACTGGACTGCCCTTGATGTATATATTTTTGGGATTTCTTACTTTTCGGTCCATTGACACCTTCATATATTTCGTCTTTGTTTCGTTTATTATGAGTCCCACCTGTTTCGTGCTTCCTTCCATTTTTCTACAAACTTCAACCATTTTAGTCGATGATTATCGTCGACGTATCCACACAGAATATGCGATTTGGCAGTTTGCCACCTTTGACAAGGTCACCAATCACCGAGTGCAGTGCTCCTTGCTTCATCTCCGGCTTTATTTTGAACAATACTGATATCAAAGATTAATGAGTAAACAAAATGCGAGGCTAGAGTGAGAAACTCTAGTTTTGAAAAGAAATAGAAGACATTTCAATTTAAAGGTCCATAGCGTTCAAGGTCATAAAAAATGGCAGCCCTGCATCAAAGGTGCCGACACGAAGCGCCGCATCTTGTTTACTCTTTAATCTTTGATGATATCTTATGCTAATTAACGCTACCTACGTTACTAGAACTAACACTAGACATAGAACTAGAAAGTTTCGAGTTTAGCCGTGCATCTTCAGACGCGAATTGTTAATTTCATTGAAATATAAATGATTTGATTTTGCTTTCTTATTTTCATTCCATTTATCACATCATATTTTGTTCATTATCCTTTTGTAATGTGTGAGTTTATGATTAAAAAATAAGATTTTATCAACTCAAGTTTTTATGTAATCCTTTGTAACATTGTTTACTTTGTTCGCGTTCAATGATGCGAATTGAATGTAATGGTGATAAAGAGTTGTTTTCACAATCCTTTTGGGGTAACTTTTAAAAACTTTGAATAATCTTTTAGATGTCAGATTTGACATTTATCCTTCAAAAACAACAATGAGGTTCGTTTAATCGTTTACATCGTTTAATAATTAAAAATATTAACTTACGTAT